TAAACTACGCCAGAGCGCGTACACACCTCACGCACCGGATGCCTGCGCGCGCCCAAAGACACTTGGACATAGTGCTGTATTAGAGGTACAAAATGATATAAATACTGTTCGGTTTCTGGCACAAACCGATCGTTTCGTGTCTTAGGACATCAGTGTGTCGTCACGAGCCGCAGGGTTTAATTTGGATTTGTCTGTGCATGTTTTTTTTACTCTCATAGATTTTGTTACCATTGCCATGCATTATACGACTGATAGACTGCAACGGTTGGAGTTAAAAATCATCATTTGTGTTCAACTGAAGAAAGAAAGTCACCTACATCTTGGATGCCCTGGGGGTAAGCAGATAAACAACACATTTTCATTTTTGGGTGAACTATCCCTTTAAGCCATTATATGTCTTTGCACTGAACAGCTGACTATTGAAAATGAGAATTTGGTCATTTAGTCCTCTTCTTGTTGTTCCTAACCTGTATGACGTTCTTTTCTGTTGAACAGAAGAACAGAATGAGATGTTTAGCAGGTCCAAAAAGCATCATAAAAGCATCACAAAATATGGTTTCAAGTCTGTTTCCATTCCCTTTCATTGTAAGAAATGCTTCTGACATTCTGCTTAACATTTAATTTCACGTTTCACAGAAGAAATTAAATGTCAGAATGACCAGAGAGTGTAAACAATGACAAAATGTTCACACATTTTTTGTGTGAACTATCCCTTTAAATGTCTTGGTTTGATCTGAAGTGTGGGTATACAGATTAACATATATGATTTGCATGCAGGTATATTTTTAGAAGCACATTTGTGTATTTGCGCTCAGGTGTGGCCGAGCAGATTTAAACACGTGGGTTTGAATCAATTCCTAAAATGTCAGTCAGAGTAACTCTCTCACACGCTGAAGCAGATAGCATGCAAACACACGTTCATATGTCCTCTTCAGCTGTTATTTATAGCCTGCAGCAGGTCCTGATCTCGCAGATTGCCGTGTAGGACGTAAATGTGTTATGAATATTATCACATGCAGGTGTGCTGAGCTCTAATGAGCGATAAAGTGCCACACACACCACAGGAAACAGAATCTGATGCTTCCTCTGGTGCAGCCGTAGGTTGAGCTCTGATTGGCTGATAGAGTGGCATCACATGTGCATGAGCATATGAAGATAAAACCACGTCTGCACTCTGACCCTTCAGAAACCACAGGCACAGAATTGTTTTAAGACATTAAGGTTGATAAATAAAAAATTAGGCCTATGCATTTACATCAGCATGGAGATCAGTTTCCAGATTTTCTTTCTAAATGCTTAAATAAAAAAACTATTAAAACTAACTAATTAAAACTAACTGAAAATTAAAAATGTTGAAACAAGATGTTTCAT